ATTTATATCATGTAGGTTAAGAAATTCTACGAAAGAATTTGTAAGCTGTATTATATCGATTCGATATTATTGTTCGTATTTCATTATTGCTTTAACAAATATGTTTAAGTATGATAATAATTTCTTTTCGTTACTAAGAAAACAGATCTAAAAACAATTTAGAATTTGGAACAAATCAAAAAAAATTTTTTGATAAAACTATAACGAGTTTTCATCATTTTATTGAAAGTCTTTTTAGTCTAATGAAACTACTTAATGTATTAAGATGATATTGTATCACAAGTATCAAACATGGCTGATGAATGATAGTTTATGCTTAATTGAAAAAAGGATTGACTTTTATAAAAAAAAAAAGTTATACAATTAAAAGAGCGGCTTAGACACAAATCATAATTAATGTTTTACAGAGATCGTTTTTCAACCTCTATCATGAAAAACTTAAAGTGCACACGACTTTAAGCACCTTGATATTACATTTCATCATTTTATTTCTTCTTTCGAACATCCTATATCATACGAAAATGAGCTGAATATCGCTGAAAGAATCATAAGATTTCCTTTTCAAATTCTAATACTAAACTACAACATAGAAATCTCCTTAGAATTTCATGTTAAGCAGTTTTCTCTTCCTCGACATCGAAAGCATTTCCTTACGATGTTTTTTTTAAAGACTACGTTACAGAAACACTGTCTCATTTATAGTACTTTCTCATGTATGAGAGACAAAAATCTGTTCGATAATGACGATCTCTTTTCTATTTCGTTCATTGTAGTAATTCCTAATATTCCAGAGAAGTTGTCCTGGGTACTGATTAGGATCGACATTTGTGTACTAGGCAGAGATGGGTAACTACACTATGTCCCGCTCGAACTCCACATAACTCCAGTCCTATTTTCTAAAACTCCACATCAATTTCAACTGCAGTGTGTTCCGCTCCAACCCTACACCACTCCACTCCTTTTTCATAAAATCCTACTCCAACTCCGATTTAACTTCAATTCCAGTTGGATTTTACAAAGCTGAACTTCTGCCAAAATACTCTTAAATACACATAAGTTTTTGAACTTAATTAAATCTACGATTGATATCAATTA